GCGGGCTAGGGCCGGGCTGGAGTCCCCGGGTCAGGCCCCGCCTCCTAGCCGCGAGCCCGTTGTTGCGCCCCGAATCCAATCACCTTCCCAGCGCCGAGGCTGAGGGGCGTATTTAGGTCTAAACGACAGCGTCCGTCCTCTTCACACCGAACCTGACGTGAACGCGCCCCTCCGATCCCCACGATCAGTGCGTATCTTAGGTCAGGCTGCGGTCCCGAAAACTGCGCCCGGTGCTAACTCAGCCAACGTGCTTCCCGCAGTTCGGGACTAGCTGGGAATTGCGAGAGCGAGGCTCTGGAACCCGGGCGGGTGTCGGGTGAGGCCACCCTTCCTGCTCTGTCCCCTCGCTGCGTCCTCTTCGCAAAGCAGAGGAGGTGAGGGCCGGCGGTGTCCTCTCCTCCTCTTCCCCCCTTCCCCTCTGCCTCTCCCCTTCCTCCTCCTCCCCCATCCTCCTCCTCTGCTCCGGGCTGACCTGGGACTTGCTGTGTAGCCCACACTGGCCTCCAACTCAGGATCCTCCTGCCTCAGCCTGCAGAGTGCTGGGATTACAGGCAAGGGCCCCTTGTACGCCGCGTGTCTCTTCTAGAAAAGGCGCTGGTCCCACTCATGGGGCCCCCACCGCGCAGCCTAATTACCGCCCCAGAGCTCAGCAAGGGTTTGGAGGCGAGGTTAGGGTCCTTCATTCCTCTGGGGGGCAGGTTCGAAGTTTCTCTTGCATCTTCTTGGGCTTCTCAAGGTACCGTCTCTTTCGATCCACTTTTCTGAGCTCTGCCAGCCAGCGGACTTCAAAATCTCTTCAAAAGCAGCACTAAAAATAGTACCAAAAATACGATTAGTGGCTTAGATTCCCAACTCGCTTGACTTCGGGCGTGGCGCGGTGGCAGGAGAGGTGACAACGTGAGAGAGGCCCGTTGGAGTCATATTTTAACGGTGTTTATTATCAGACCTTTGTATATACACGAGTTTAGGATGATTAAAAAAAGAATCCTTTAAAGACTATTTTTTAATTTGATCTTACAAGGTATTAATTTATGCCTCATAGTTCTCTTCACAGAGATTTGAATAAAGAAGAAACGAAGGCTCTGGCTGAATTATGAGCCTGCTTTTAAGCACTCCCAGGGGCTAACAAACAAGGAGGGCCGCTTCCAGACCCCAGACGTCCTCAGCTGAATTCTGAGTGGCAGGTTTGACGCCTCTACCCTGCTTGTTAAGAACTCAGTAATGGATTAGGTTAATTAGCGATAGGTAATTTTATCTTGTATTAATCATCCTTCTGTCAGAATAAATTAACCTTTTTAGCTCCTATTTTGTGGAACTCGCAGCCTCCACAGACATGATTCTTGAGGCATTCGATAGACTTGGAAAATTCAAACTCATTTGAACTTGGCGATACCCATTGTTAGCAGAGTTATAAACATAATAATCGCAGAGATTGACTTCTTTGGTCATCGAAGATCACCTTAATACAAGCACCTCTCCATTGTCTCCTTCTAATAGTGGGTGAATCCCAGTACAATCTCTGAGTCTCCATTTCCTGACTTATAGAATGGGGCTACTTTTATCCACCTCGAGCTGAGGAAATGGGGTAAAACCTGCAGCACACTTTGAAACACACTTCTGGGGAGTTTGAGATGAATATCGCTACTAGTTTTTAAATACGATCAAGAGGAAGATTTCACTTTGCCACTGTGGATGCTAACTGAGTGCTGACATCCTGGAATCCTTTTCCCTGGCACCTTTATACTCGTGCCAGGGAGAAACATCAGCAGCAATTTAGGTGAGGGGGCATTTTCTCCACTGCGGGCTTCTGCTGCCCTTTGTGTGGCCCGGAAGCAGACATGCCAGTAAGATCACCAATCACAAGCTGGGCGTAGGGGCACACACCTGTAATCCCAGCACTTGGGAGGCTGAGGCAGGAGGATCGCTGTGAGTTCAAGATCACCCTGGGCTGCATAGTGAGTTCCAGGTCAGTCTCAACTACACAGGGAGACCCTGTCTAAAAAAACCAAAAAAAAAAAAAAAAAAATCAATCAGCGCTTTTTGGGTGGACATTCATGACATCCCATGGCAAATAAGCTCAAAAACCAGCCTGCATTCAAATAAATTGATGAACAGTACAAATATCAGCTCCTTTGCTTTTGTAAGGCCAAATCACAGTGGATCTCATCGAGGTAATTTGGGAAATAGTCAAACATTTGGCTCTAATTAGAAAGGGAGGCAAACACATCAGAACTAGATTCCATTTGGGCAGGGTTTGTTTATCCTTCTCATCTTGAGTTGGAGCCAAAACTTTCAGTTTTGACTCGTTCTTAAATGTTTCTCCAAATTTGGGCAGGGCCCGTGGCCTACTTAGAGAGAGACGCTGCTTTGCTCAGCACTCAGAGGAATGGGGATACTTTCTCATGGAGCTCAGCAAAATGGAGAGGAGGAGAGGCTCGGGGTGAACAAGCGGTCCTGGGGTGCAGACAGCAGGGGCATTCACTGCTGAGCAGGAAATCCTGTTCGTCGGTTTCCCTCGGTCTCCCGTTTCCCCACAGAGCTGCCGCTTAGGTCTGCAGGTAGAGTTGGGTCCGGCTGTGCTGCTGGATACTGATAAGGAGAATGGAAGGGAAGGCTCCGGGGAGCCTGGAGGTTGAGTGCGGCGCTATCTTGCTGCACCTTTTATTTGAAGAGGAGAAGGAAATATCTTCTTGGCTAAGGAAAAACTTTAGGAACCAAAATTGTATGAGTTTTTGTTTTTTTTTTTTGGTGTTTTGGGACAGGGTCTCAGTATGTAGTTTAGGCTGGACTTGAACTCACTATGCAGGCCAGGTTGGCCATAGGCATTTCTCCTGCCTCAGCCTTCCTGAGTGCTAGAATCACAGGTGTATGCCACTAAGTCTGGCCTGGGTTTTTTTTTTTTTTTTTTTAATGTTCATTTAAACATCAGTTTGAAACTTTATCTTATATAGAAAAGTTGCAAGTAGAACTCCCCTGCCCAAACTATTTGGGATTAGGTTGTCAACATGTCATCCCTGGAGACTTTAGGTTACCCATCTTACAAACACGACACTGTCCTACAGAGCACTGGCATCAGGATGTGAACTCTGCTGTCCAACCCTCTGACTCTATTCCCATTCTGTCCATTGTCGCTAACACGTCCTCAGGAGTGAAGGTCCAGAATCATGGTTGAGGTGGCTCTTGAACCTCTTCCCATTTGAAATGGTTTCTTCTGCTTTCCTTCATGATTATGAACTGGATGCTCTTTAAAAGAAAAAGTAGACTGAATATTTTGTAAAATATCCACTATGGTCTCTATTTAGATGTCCCCCAAAGCCCATAGGATCACAGGCTGGTCCTCTGAAGGGTGACTGGGTTATAGAGGCATCATAGCTGAGTGCTGCTGGGAGGTGGGGCTTGGTAGGAAGAGGCAGGACCTGGTGGGTGTGACCCGGAAGGGCTTGTATTACTTCTGGGCTCCATCCTTGACCCTCTGCTTCCTATCTCCATGTCTTCAGTAGTGCCCCTCCTCCATACCCCTCTGCCATCCTGTCCTGCCCAGAGCCAGCTAATTATGGACTGAAACCTGAACCAACATAAACCCCCCTCACTTTCTTACTTTCTTTTCTTTTTTTTTTTTTTTTTTTGAGACAGGGTCTCACTATGTAATTGAGACTGACCTGGAACTCACTATGTAGCCCAGGCTGGTCCCAAACTCACAGCGATCCTCCTGCCTCAGCCTCCCGAGTGCTGGGATTACAGGTGTGCGCCACCACACACAGCTAACACCCCCCCCTTTAAATTGCTGCTGTCAGGCATTTTGTCCCAGTGACAAGGAAGGTGTCTAAGACAATGTCCTTTCATTTGGTTTGCCTCACATTTGCTAGTACTTCTATTCAGATCCCGTGTATTTTGCAGGAGTATAGTAGAAGCAATGCTGTGCTCATCAGAACCTGCTCGTGATTTTTTGGGGGTGTAACAAATTTATCTAACAATTTATTTATTTTATTCCATTCCCCCCCTCAACCCCCTACCCTCCCCGTGTACAAAAGTCTTCTTTTTTCCTTCTATTTTCACTTTTTTGTCCCTTCCTTTCCCCCCTCCTCCCTTGTTCCCCTTCCCATTTGAACGCTTTCTTCCCATTTTCCAACACCCATTATAAATATCACTGCTTATTTCCACGTTCAGTTTCTCCCACCAGAGAAACAGTGTGGTGTTTAAATGTGTGTCTGACTTATTTCACTTGAGCATGGTCTCAAGGTCCATCCACTTAGCTATAAATGTCTGAAACTCATCCTTCTTTGTGGCAGAGTAGCACTCCATTGTATTAAAACACTTCTTCTTCCTCTTCTTCTTCTTCTTCTTCTTCTTCTTCTTCTTCTTCTTCTTCTTCCTTCTTCCTCCTCCTCCTCCTCCTCCTCCTCCTCCTCCTCCTTCTTCTTCTTCTTTCTTCTTCTTCTTCTTCTTCTTTCTTCTTCTATTTTGAGACAGGGTCTCACTATGTAGTTGAGACTGACTTCACTATGTAGCCCAGGCTGGTCTTGAACTCACAGCGATCCTCCTGCCTCAGCCTCCCGAGTGCTGGGATTACAGGTGTGCACCACCATGCCCGGCTAAAACCACATCTTTATTCACTCATCAGTGGCTTTGGGCTGCCTCCAAGATTCAGCTACCGCAAACTGTGCTGCTACACACATGAGCGTGCACACCTCACCGTGGTATGATGCCCCCGACTCTCTTGGGAAGATATGGAGAAGAGGTACAGCTGGGTCAAACGGAACCTCCTGCTGCAGTCCCTGGAGAAATCTCCACACAGCCTGCACTCTCACCAGCAGCGGATCGGGGTCCACTTCCCCACATCCCCTCTGGCATTTGCTACTGGTTGATTTCCCGATAGCAGCCGTTCTTTCTGGCGTGAGGCGGAATCTCAGGGCTGCTCAGATTTGCACCTCTTGAACGACCAGTGGTGTCTGTCATTTCCTCGTATGTTCATCTGCTATTTCCAGTTCTTCGTCTGAGCAGTGTCCTTCATTTCAGAGGACCGTTTCTGCACTGGGTCTTCAAATCTGGGGGCTCCGATCCCCTTGGGTTCTCTGTATATTCTAGACAGCGGTGTCCATCTGGATTCCGTCCCCTCTGTGGGTTTTCTCCGCACTCTGCCAGTTCCTCACGCTTTTGATTTATCTTTTTACTGTGTTCACTCTGGTCATCTGATTAAAGCAGTCACCCCCAGGGTTCTCCACTGCAATGTAGCCTTTTCCCATTGTATTCAGTAAATGTTTTGTGGTATCTCACTACAGAATCACATAAATATTTCTCCTGGAGTGAGTATGAATTTGATCAGTCTGTTTCCTTTAGTTATATCACTATAGATTCATGGATCTATGCTGGATTCAGTAAGTCACGATCAGCTACCATCCTTGTTTATTTTGGTCTTTAGATCATCCCAGACGTGGCCAGAGGAAGCTGCTTACCGGTGCGCCTGCTTGTTCCTGTGACTTAGCTCCACCTTTGGTGAGATTGTCCTGCTTCCTGACGCAGAGAGATGTTGCAGCCTCATTTTGCTTTTGCTCTGGGAAACTGGTGGGGAGAACAGGATTTAGAAGCCAGAATCTGAGTGCTCTCTGCACTCCTTGCTATTGTGTGTTCCTGCAGCCTTAGTAAACAGACACATATTTACACTGATATTTATTTCTTTAAAACAAATTATGAGGGCTGGGGATTTAGCTCAGTGGTGCTAAAGCACCTTGCAAGTGCAAGGACCTGAGTTCAATCCCCGGTACTGAAAAAAAAACAAAAACCCCAAAAAACAAAAACAAAAAACCAGCCGAGCATGGTCAGCACGCCTGTAATCCCAGCACTCGGGAGGCTGAGGCAGGAGGATCGCTGTGTGTTTGAGATCAGCCTGTGCTACAAGTCAGTCTCAACTACATAGTGAGACCCTGTCTCACCCTCCCCAAAGAAAAAAGCATGAAAAACAAATTATGAATTAATACCTAATCCTTAATGGGAAGAAAATGTTCAAATGAGAAGGGGAACAAGGGAGTGGGAGGGGAAAGGAAAGGAGGGGCATTTACAAATATTCTGTGATGCACGTTGTCAGTATATATATCTAAAATGTAGAAATCAAATGATAATAACAAATTCTTCTCCATCACCACAGGATCCATAGGATTCTGGGTTGGTCTCTTTCCATATTTGTAACCCTTCTCTCACACTGCGAATCCTGGCTCCATCTTAGGGTTAATAGATTTGCTTACTTGGTCAGTTCCCCTCTCGTAGTCTGTTGTGCGTTACTGTAACAAAATGCCTCAGCCTGGGTACTTTATACAGAAGAGCGATGTGCTTAGCCCACGTTTAGAGACTGAGAAGCCTGTGGTCAGGCCAGGAGCCGTGCCTGGGAATGGCGCATCCCATGGTGTTTCCCCTCCTGCGTACACCTCCTCACCACCCCTCCACCTCCTGCAGGAGTTCTGGCCCCTTCTCATATGTTCTAAGACTTCGGGCTTCTCGGTGTAATTTAAATTAGCATTTATTTTTGTTATCTGTAAAGTTGAGCACTTTTTAAGGAAGAGTGCCAGTAAAATGAACATTCCCCAATAATTTTGTGCCAATTACTTAATGGTTCTTTGAGCTGGATTTTATGTTCACCTGCACAGAAGGCATTATTTGAACCATTTGTTTATTTAACAGATGTTTACTGATTTCATGGCATGTCCTACTTACTGTTCTAAGCACTGAGGGTCCAGTGGAAAGAAGAGGAAAAACTGCCTTATGTCTGAGTTGCTTTCCTCCCTGCTCGGAAAAAAATACCCAGTACTTGCAAGTTAAAGGAGGGAGGTTTGATTGGCATAGGGTCAGGCCATAGTTGGTAGCTCCAAGGCAGGGAGGCCTGGCATAGGGGTCTGGGGGAGCAGAACCGCTCACAGCATGGCGCATAGGAAGTGGGTGGAGCAAGGGAGGAGGCGGGAGGGAGATAAATCCTTCCAGGCCACGCCCCCAGCGACCGCCTCTTCGTGCCAAACCCCGCCCCCTAACAGCAAGCCTGCTCTCAGCTGCAAAATCCAGTCGCCTTTCCAAAGTCTCCCTGCGGTTCCCCGAGGATTTTGGTGGACTTCTAGCTGGGCTCCATGCGCCGTGTGTTTTTGAGTCAAATGACGAGCAAGTTAGTAAGTTAGAGTATAATTTTAAGTCAGTGAAAGATCTACAAAGAGAGTCCAGAGCGGGGCAGGTGCCGGAGTGGCAGGCAGTCTCAGGAGGGGAAGCAGCGTTTTGCACCGCATCCGGGAGCCTCGTCCCGTGGGTCTGGGTCGAAACTCGGGAGCAGGCGCTCCACATAGACTCACGCACGTCCGTGTGTGTGCGTGCGTGTGCGTGTGCGTGTGTGCGCTCGCTGCACGGGGGGTTGAACCCGGGACATTGCCTATGCTGGCAAGGGCTCTGCTGCTGAGGTGTCCCCGGCCACGGGCCTCTGGCTAAATACCATGCTGCCTCGAAAATAACGCCGGGTCTTCCCTTCCCTCTGCTCCAGGAGACACAATAGCTTGCTCTCAGGAGGTTCTTACTTGTTCACAGGCAACGATCTACGTTTATTCCCGCACGAAAAGCGACATTCATTCAAACGGTCACGTCCCCTGCTTCCGGAACCTTGGCACAACTCCTCAAAGCCCGAATCCGGCCTGGGTTTCTCGGGGTCCCGTTTCCTGCAGCATGGTCCCCCCCGTCCCCCGCTCCTCGAGCGCGCAGTGCTCCGGGGGCCTCGGCCATGACTTCTTCCCCGGAATCAGGGTGGACCGAGGCCTTGGGAGGCAGGAGCGGCCGCAGAAGTGGGCAGGGGTGGTCCCCGCAAAGGCGACGAAGGCGCCAGGTACCGAACTCGGAAAGCATTGATCTCACATGCGGCGCGGTGAGTTCTGAAGACTCTGGTTGGACGCCGCGGGCCTTCGCTACCGAGTGTGCGCTCGTTTGGGTGTTGTCGGTGCTCCCGTGGGTCGTTCGGCAAAACCCGAGTCCTCCGCTTCACAGGTGCTCACCATAAAGTACAGCATCACTTATTTGAAATATGACGTCAATGCTATTATTTACTAATATGCAAAACGTTATTACTTTATTTTAAAGCATTTATTGTTTTGGTACCGGGATTCGAACTCAGGACCCTGCACTTACAAGGCACGCGGAGGAACCACTGAGCCTGATCCCCGGCCCTGTCACTGCTTTCTAACTGAGCACCCCCCCACCCCATGTGCTACAAGGGCCGCCCCAAAGGCCCCGTCTGTCTGGCGATCTCAGACAGGCTTATCTGGGGCCCGGCCCGCCTAGGACACCCTGAACACCACGCGAGGGCTTCTGTTCCCGTCCGGCCTTACTTCCAGGGAGAGGCGGTCCTGGCAGAGGCCGTGCAAGGCCTTCCGAGGCGGCTGTGGGCTGTGCAGACCTCTCCGGGCTGCACGATGCTGCCTGGAAATCAGGGCTGACGGCTGTAGCCTGTCGGGGAGCAAGCGCGGCTCAGAGCCCCCCATCGTTGCCTCGCCGGGAGCCCGGGAGCCCGCGCAGCCGAGGAAGCTTGCGCTGGGCGCCTCCTGCGCTCTGAAAGCTCTCTGCCTGCACAGCCGCTCGGACACTGCAGGCTTTTAGTCCCCTTTGCGCCTGACACGTTAGTGTGGTGCTCAGAGTTGCGTGAGTTGTGGAAAGAGCAGATTCACTTCACAGCAAGTGCAGCGGCGCCTGGGACCCATGGATGACATGAACGACAAATGCAAATTGTCTGAGACAGGATCCCGCCATGCAGTTCGCGCTGGCCTTGAACTCAGGCGATTCTCCTGCCTCAGCCTCCCGCAGTGCTGGGATGACACCGCCACACCCAGACAACGTTTTGAAAAGTCCTTTCCTGGGAAAAGTTGCGATTGCAGCTGTGGCGGCTGCCTCCTTCCGTCTCCTCACCCCACACACGAACACAGACTGGCTCTTAAGGTTGCTCCGGCCAAGCATGCGGCGGATCCATCCTGTGCCGCTCAGCCAGCCTGCTTATTCCCTGTCGTGGAAAGTGCGGCCTCCTCTGGGGAAACCTGGGCCTGGGCTCCAGCTTTCTCCCCCGAGGCCAGGCACTGAAGGGGTTCGTCTGGCGCTACGCTTGGGCCCAGCCGCTCTGCACAGAAAGCGAGGGCAGCGGGAGCAGCAGCAGCAGCAGCAGCAGCAGCAGCAGCAGCAGCAGCGGGGGCCTCACGGAGCGTTTTGTTTTCTCTCCCAGCAGCCCTGAGGCCTGAGGAGGAAGAGCTCCGGGTGTCTCCTTTCTGCAGTGTCTCTTTTCTGTCAGTGCTGAGCTCCCGGCCCTGTCCAGGAGGTGCAGGTGAAGCTTTCAGGCCAAGGAGGCTGGGGCGCCTTGGAGGAGAAGCCCGTGGCCTCGGGGCCGCCTCCTCGGGGGAGACGCAGCTTTACCCTCCGCTGCGATGTGGGGAGTTGGGGATCACGGTGCAACCTCACCGTCCTCATGGGTAGGAACTGTCTAAATCTCTCACCCAAGGGTCAAGACATCACGCCACGGTGACCCAGGCAGCAAATATAATACAGCAGCTAAACCCTGAGAGCGGCCCGCACGTCCAGCATCAGACAAGTGGATAGAGCAAACGTGGTATTCATACACCATGGAGTACTACGCTGCCACGAAGAGGCGTAGCCTTGAGGATGCAGCTTGAGGCTTAAAGTGAAGTGAAAGAAATCAGACGCACAGTTTAAATATCGCAGAGTCTCTCTTAGGTGAGAAACTCAAAGGGTAAATAAAGAGCAAACTAAAGGATGGATAATAGGAAGTAGGGAGATAGAACTTTCTCAAACAGCAGGGGACCAGGCCAAGGAGGGACCAAGGGCTGAAGCTGTGTGACCCAGTGCATTATGTGCTGCGAACTCGCTCTGCTAACGCTGAATAGACGAGAACAAGATGCTAACTGTTCCGTTTCCCCCTGGCTGTTTCGAATTTAATCTGCACCGCAGCCCTCAGAAGGGGTTGGAATACCTCGACCTCAGCCCGCATTTAAAAAAAAAAAATTGGTTTTCACGGTGTTATTCAGGCTTTAAAATAAACCAATCCCAGCCAGGCATGTTGGCACACACCTATAGTCCCAGCACTCGGGAGGCTGAGGCAGGAGGACTGCTGTGAGTTTGAGGCTAGCCTGGGCTAGATACACAGCGAGACCCTGTCTCCAAAAAACCCCAAAGAAAAAAATCATGCGAGAGCGGGGAGGAAGGGGCCTAACCCCGTTTGTCCATGCCCGGCTGTGTCTACTGAGCTGAGCTCGCGAGAGGTAAAGGAAGCAGGGCCACTCCTGGGTGTACACGTGTGAACACGAGACCGGGAGACCGGCCGAAGCCGGAGCCTCCAGAGACCGCATCCAGATTTTTGGGGGTCTGGCGCCACCTGCTGGCCACACGGCAACTGTTCAGATTTCCTTCCGGGAACTTGTATTCCGAAAACAGTTACTTTGTTTCCTGATTAGAGCCATCGAGTAAATAAGCAAAATCATTTAAAATGCTACTCTAAAGAAGTTGTGTGCAAAACAATATTCCTGTACAATATGAACTAAGTCGAATTGTATGATACTTTTCTTTGTTTATTTTTAGCAAAACATTTATTGGTACATTTTAGATACGCACAGTGAAAACATTCATCACAGGGAACTTGTACCTGGCACATGATATATCTTGTTTCTTTTTTCCTCGCTCTCCTCGTGGGCTTCAGTTCTCACCTTGGATTCTTTCTGGGTCCCGAGGACCCACTTCCCTCCTTCTCTTTCTCTCGTTGTTGTAGTCCAGGGTCTGAACAGCAAATCAGGGAGGGACTGTTTCTCTGTTGTTCACCACTGGGCCATCTTCCTTGGAAGTCTTTTTAATTTTTATTTATTTTTTATTTTGGGGACTTTTTTTTTTTGTCCAAGACCAGGTCTTGCTGTGTCATTCAGGCTGGCCTGGAACTAGCAGCGATCCTCCTGCCTCAGCCTCCTTAGTGATGGGATCACAGCTGTGTGTCAGCCTACCTGGCCACATCACTGCATTTCTGGCTTTAAGTCCCTGCTCCGCTGATGATCCGTTCAGAGCTGTTGCTCAGGTGCCTGCTTGTCCTGGGTTGTTTCTACTCGAAGCTGACTCGTTATCCTGAGATCCAGTGTTCGGGAGCCGGAAGAGGGGATTTTCAGGGGCAGAGATGTTGGCGGGGAGAGGCGGGTGGGACCGTGGCTTTGGGGGTCTGCAACTGGGCAGAGGTCCCACCCCCAGCTCCGTAGGACTGCCAGCTAGCTGGGTGTGGGTCAGGCTCAGGCCTTAGCCCGGAGGAGGAGAGCAGGGCTGGTGGGCCCTCACTTACAAAGCTTTGGAAAACAGCAAAAGCCTTTCGGAATCACATGTAAAAATCCCCCAAGTATTAAGCAGGAGTCCTTTTTTTCCTTGGTACTGCAGATTGAACTTGGGCCCTTTCTCTTGTGAAACAGACTGCGGAACCACTGAGCTAAATCCCTGGCCGTCTCCCAAGTATTAAAAAAGTTAATGAAATTGAATTTCTAAAATTGAGGGAGGAGGGACTGGGCCTGGTGGTGCATGCCATTATCCCAGTTTGGGAGGCTGAGTCAGGAGGATCACTGTGAGTTCCAGGCCAGCCTGGGCTACAAAGTGAGACCCTTTCTCAACAACCAACCAACCAAGCGAACGAACGAGCCAACGAAGGAATGGTTCACGTCAATCTGAGATTGAACAGTGTTCCGCGGCTCTAGCTGATGTTGGAAATCGGACTGTCGGGGGAGGGGGAGACCACACTGTGTCCACACTCGGTGCCAACCTTGTGCGGTGACTCACAGCACAGGAGAGAGGAGGGGATCGCTCTGTGCTGAGGAGTGGAGACCCCGGCCAGCAGCTCCAAGCTCCTCGCTTTCCCTCCGGTGAGCTGAAGTCCCAGCCCCGGATGTCAGGAGGGCCGAGGCTTAGATGCCAGCGGCCGGCCCTGGGAGGTACCCGGGGCTTTGATCTCGTGCCGATGTTCACGCTCCTGCACCGTGCATGCGCGTGTGCTGCGTATCTGCGTGCCGAGACGCGGATGGCAAACTTGGCAAACTCCGGCCTGCATGGCGGCCTGCACCAGCCTCCCCCGCTCGGCACGTTACAACCCTTTGTCCGGGGTCTAAAAATGGGACCTGACAGCCCGTTCCTAGCCGGGCTCAGACGCAGCCGCGTGCTGAGCAGACCAAGAGTAAAGTTTAAGGGAGGGATTATTTTGTATTTTATCTTTCATGATCTCTTTTTAATAACGGTTTTACAAGTTCTCATTTTTTTGGGTAGAATTTCTTTTTGAGGCCAGGCATGGTGGCGCACGCCTGTAATCCCAGCACTCGGGAGGCTGAGGCAGGAGGATCGCTGTGAGTTCGAGACCAGCCTGGGCTACATAGTGAGTTCCAGGTCAGTTTCAACTACATGGTGAGACCCTGTCTAAACAAACAAACAGAAAAGGATTTCTTTTTGGGAGAGGGTCATTTTATTGAAGGCTGTTTCCTTGCTTAAGCTCTTGTGTGCATTTGCCCTCCCTCAGATTTCCAATCTACATAGTGTTCCAGGTCAGTTTCAACTACATGGTGAGACCCTGTCTAAACAAACAAACAGAAAAGGATTTCTTTTTGGGAGAGGGTCATTTTATTGAAGGCTGTTTCCTTGCTTAAGCTCTTGTGTGCATTTGCCCTCCCTCAGATTTCCAACACTCAGCGAGTTATTTTTCTCTGTATTAAAAACTGGTGAACTTCATCATTTTGTTTTCCTTTCTTTTGAGGTACTTGTGGTGGCACCCAGGGCCTTGGCACCGAGGTACAATCCTAGCCATTTGTTTTCTTTTTTTGAAACAGGGGGTCTCTCTGAGTTTTTGGGAGGGACTTGGACTTTGGACCCTCCTGCCTCAGCCTCCAAAGCGCTGGGAGTCGGGTGTGTGTGTGTCATGGTGCCCCGCAGTGAGCTTCCTCTTTATAAGCGCTGCACACAGAATGTGAAAACGCACTTGCTGTGGCCGTTTACACATTTTCCCTGGCTCCTGCTGCCCCCTTCTGTCCTCTAGGGACAAATGCAATTAGAGTTCGGTTTGCATCCTTTCTGACTCTTCAAAAATATATTTTCAAAAAGTGAAAATAGAAGGAAAAAGTGGAAACAAAGCTTTTGTGCATGGGGTGGGTGGGATTTAAAAAAGCAGTTGTGTATAAAAATAAATGTAAAATCTCACAAAAATATATTTTAAAAAATTATGTAAGCACACATAGAGAACTGGGACAGTTTTGTTTTGACAAAGTCAGAATTTTTCATAGGGATTGTTCTGAGGCTTTTCTGAGTTGCTGTTTGGGCTGGAATTTTGTGCTAAATCCTCCCACTTTAGGACTGGAGCAAAAATGAGGGGGTGGGGACAGGCAGGGACTTCTGAGCTGGAACAGCTGAGCCGGCACGGTGGTGATGGTGGAGGAGGAGGAAGGGCTCCTGGCTTCCTCTCCCTAAGTGTAGACTCGCCAGGCTGCGCGGAGCAGGTGCTCACTTAGAGGGGAGACTTTGCCCTGGGAACAGACAGCACCGGAATAGGAGGCAATGGACAGCTAGGAGAACTCACTCTGG